GCGGAGATGGAGGCCAATGACGGGGAACTTATATCCGCCATCGATGGTAATGCAGAAATATGGCTTCCAATGAGAATAGCCTGTTACTGTAGACACCAGAGCGAGAAGAGCGGATTTAGGTAAGAGACAATTACGTTAAGCCATCTTGTTACTATCGATCACTGACAAATATTCTATTAGGATAATCCTTACTATCAAGGACCATAATGACAATCTTGTCGCCCAAAGCATCACCCCTCCCATTCTCATCACCGATGACCACAAGACCAATGCGCCCTCACAACCAGCTACTCAGCAACCAGTGGCTGCCGCCCCTGCTTCGAAGGGAGCCACATCTCCCTCCGCCATCGCCCCCGGACCGGTTCCAGTTGCTCCAGCTCCCCCAAGTAATGTTCTTCCTTACTCTGCTTCGGATACAAACCTTTTGACAATGGGTCAAATGGACAGGCCGTCGAAAGCTAGTAAGACTGGCCATTCGAGACAAAACTCGCGACAGTCATCTGTAGGACTTATGCAATCTCCACCCCCATACACCGCATCTGCTGCTGGACCTTCCGCGAAGAAACGGAAGGCCAATCCGTCGTCGAAAGCCCGCTCTGAGCTCACGATGACCAAGATCGACACCTCCGGACCTTCAACGTCGGTCCCACAATCACAATTTACGCAGCCGCCCTTCACACCTTCCAGCCAAAACGTTACAATGGGCGGTATGTTTGAGCAATCACAGCCTGTTCCTTTCACACCGTCTACGCCCATGGAGAACGGAGCGGGGCCAAACTACTTCGGCTTCCATAACCGTAACCACAGCATCGACAGCCTCCACGGACTCCAGATATTCTCCGCACCGACATCTGCTCAAGGGTCTCGCGCCCCATCCCGTGTTGCAAGCCCCGTCCAGCAATTCAGCGTTCCCCAAGGCCAAGGCCAGCGACCGGTATTCACCCCAGCTCAATTCGCCCAAGTTCAGTCCCAGCTACTCAATGTCGCCAATGGACAACTCTCACAAGCTCTTCTCCCTTTCGATATCACCCGTATTGTGCCAACCGAGGGGCCATGTCAAGGCGGTATCGAGGTTACCATCCTCGGCAGCGGCTTCCAGCGATCGCACACTGTTTACTTTGGTGACAAGCAGTCTCCACGGACCGAATATTGGAGCGATACCACCATCGTTTGTCTCCTGCCACCATCGAGTACTCCCGGCAGCGTACCCGTTGTTATGAGATACGCAGCCCAGGCGAACCTCACATTGCCTGGCCGCTCCGGTAGGTTTATCTACACAGATGATACGGAACAGAAGATGTTGGCACTGGCGTTACAGGTCATCAATGCGAAGTGGAGCGGGAAGATCGAGCCACCCAAGGACATCGCCATGAGGCTTCTCATGGATGAGAAGAGCCCCGGGAACGCAGGTGGCTCGGTTAGTGGAAGCCGGACTCACTCATCAGGAGGTAACAACTACAACGCGCAGGCGTTGAAGTTCTTGCAGTCCCCACTACCCTCGATGGATATGGAGGCACAGCTACTCAAGCTTCTAGATATCATCGACATGGACGATTCACCATTCCCAGCCAAGCTGAACCTGAGGAATAGGCAAGGACAGACGATGTTGCATCATGCCTGTGCACTTGGATACAACCGGTTCACAGCTGCCCTGCTTGCTCGCGGCGCTAATCCCGACGCGGCAGACAAGGGTGGCTTCACACCAGCCCATTTCGCGGCGCTCAAGGGCCACAAGGACATCGTTAGACGTTTGAGATTGAACAAAGCCGACTTCAACATCCTCAGTCTTAGCGGTGTTGCGCCGGAAGACCTTACTGACGCTGAAGATATTCGTGCTGAGTTAGGTAGCAGGCGAACTAGGAGTCGTCGGCCTTCGGTCAGCAGTGTCTCCAGTGCTCCTGGTAGGGTCACCAGCGGCCGCAGAAGTCGGAGCGGAAGTATCGCTTCAGCCATGGCAAATTGGGAACCGTTTGCTACTCATGATGAAGAATCCGCTGAGGATACTGAAGATGATGATGACGAGGCCGATAACGAAGAGCTGTGGATCCGACCAAAGAGGACGTTTAGTGGGCGTAATCTAAGGGACCTGGCTTCCGGCAAGCTCACTATGATACCACGAACAACGGAGAAGCCGCTATCCAGGTCCGCTAGCAAGAGCAATTTGGCTGCTCTGGCAGAGGTATCTGCTTCTTTACCAAAGGATCTGCAGGTCAATGAGGCCGATGCCGCCCCTGCAGCAGCAACTGCTGCAGCCTTGGTCGCCATCCGAGAACAGTTGGCGAACCTAACGTTGAACTTGCCGAATTTCCACAACATGAACTGGAACCTTCCGAATTTGAATTTACAGAACTTCCAACAGCAGATGCACCTTAACCTGCAGAACCTTCAGGGCCAGACAGCAAGATTTAACGCTTTGCTACAAGGTCAACGAGTAGACGATGCCACCGGAGTTGTCGGTAACAACGTCGCCGCACCTGTCGCTCCTCCCCCTCCTCCTCCTCCTGTTGCTGCTACTCCACGGGCTCTTCCGGCTACGAACCCAGATGTTGCTGGCAGTCCTAACTCCGACTATAAATGGTGGGAGTTATTCTCACCACCAAATGCCCCTCCAGCCTATGAAGAGTTGTATCCAGACGGCAGCGCTCGTGGCAACGACAGCGATACCAAACTACGCGCTATTGGTGAAGCTGTAGCTCAAGTTATGGATGCTAAGGTTGCGGTAGCGACGGCAATGGCCACTCAAAGCGCAACAAAACGAGCGACAGTAGGGACCATCTCTTCATCTTCGAAGAGCCTAAGCAAGAGCAAAACAAGGCTCTTGACGGTTGAGGAGCAGGACGCTTTGAGGATTCATCATGAAAAGATGAAGAGAATCAAGGGGGATCAGAGGCTCCTGTTTTTCTGGGTATGTTTCCTCTTACGAATTTTATGCTTGATATGTCACGAAGCTAATACTTTTTTGTTTGCTTATAGCTCCCAATCTTCGTCCTCGTTTTGTTTACTTTGTTGACTAGCTGGGGTAGTAAGACGTGGATTGTAGTACGGACGACATACGAGGTTGTGAAGGAGAGGATGGCAGACGCCGCTGAGGCTACTGCCGGGGCTGGAAGAAGAGTTGTTGAGGTTGGTGGTCTATAGCAATATATCCTAAGCATATGATGCTCGATAAGGCGAAGCTTGGTTTCCTTTTTGTTCGTTTATATACCTCCTGCGATTTTATTCTCAATTTGGCGGCTGGTGGGTATTGCCGTTGTATTTTTTTTTTTTTTTTTTTTTTTTTTTTTCCGGTTTCGGTTTTTCTTTTCTTCGAGGTTCCGATTTTCGTGGGACAAGGACACTTATTTTCACATACAAAGCAGTATAATACTCCCCCTTTGTTTCCTTTTTTTATTACTACTATTACTATTACAGCGGCGGCAGCACGGCGATCGAGCAGTTAACTAGCTTCCTTCTTGTACCTTTTTTTCCCCCTTTCTCCTTGTTTCATTATCATTCTCCATGTCTCATTTGTCTATTATTCACAATATTTTTTTTATTGGGGTAAACAAAAAAAAACAACCGGTAGGATAAGGGCGGGGTGGCTTTTGGAATAATTTCAGGTTTCCGGATTTTTCTTTCATACTTTCGTTCTTTCCCTTTAATTTCTTTTATTTCACCTTTTTTTTTCACCTTCTTATAAAGAAAGAAAGAGAAGGAAAAAAAGAATCTAAAAATCATTTTCATCTTTTTTTTATTTTTCCTTTTTATTTCTTGTGGTTATACTGATAGCGGTTTCTATTTTGCTGGGACATATATATATTTTCTTAGTGTGATAAGTGTATTTTTATTCTTGTGCAAAAAATCATTGAAAGGGGTTTCCCTTTACTTTTTCACTCCTCCACTCTTTTTGTCTTTTTATTATTATGATTATTGTTCTCCTTCTTTATCTTTCTTTGACATGTGATTAGTATAGTACGAAGTTTATCGTGAGTGTTATTATGTAAGAATGAATCAAAGGTTGGTTTGGGATCATGGATACGAGGGTGTCATTGGTATAGATGTAGAGATGGGTCTTTGTAAGAGGGCTCTTTGCGATTGTTTAATGATCAGTTCGTGTAAACCTCGGGCGTATCAGTTCATGGATGTGAGATAGGGGAGGGTGAGGGAGGGAGGGGTGAAGATAAGAGGGGGGAGGGGTTCCGATGGGGTAATGTATGCGGGTGGTTTGGTGGAGTGTGCACATGTGAGTTGGTTTGGGTACTTGATAGGGGTACTTTTTGTATTCTTTCGTGGTGGTTATGGGGTATATTGTTTGATAAGCCTAGTGGCGTAGTCTACCGCTATGGGACCGTGATAAGCCTTGGTTTTTGGTGGTCAAAGGTGTTGAGGTTGTTGTATTTTCTATTTTGATGGTGGTGTCGGATTGAACCAGTCGGAAGCAAGAGAATTGACATATCACATCACAAGATCATGCAAGGGGGTGGTTGTTCAAGCGTTTTGAAGGGCCTGTAAACGGTTTGTCGTTACGAAATTTTAGGGTAATGGGAATTATAGTGGTATGTTCTAGAAACTTTTTTTTCGTGTGGATGGATAGGGTTTTTTTGTGATTTATGAAGTACTAGTATTAATTTAATATTGGAGAGCTCGAGCTCGAGCTCTGTTTGTTGGTTTTTGCCGACGTCGGGGTGGTTGATGTCGAATTGGAATGATACTTTTGGGATACATTGTCGATTGTAGCGGGCTTTTTGTTTGGACTAATGGAGGCCACGAGACATCTAGACTGTTTTGTTTAGATAATTGAGTTTTCTTTTTTTTTTTTTTTTTGAAAGTTGGCGCTAGGGAAGGGTGGGAATGTAAGGTACATACCTTCCCTTGATACTACCTACTTAATAGGTATCTAGCTACTTCCTTGAAACATTTTTATCGCCCCGCGGAAAAACGGTTATCGATATATCGATCGAAGGATCGCGGCCGAGCTGTTGAAGATGGTGGTTTACGGATTGGTGGACATCAAAAAGGAAGCGGGGATAGCTCAGTTTGGGAGAGCGCCAGACTGAAGAAAATATACTTCGGTTGTTAAGGAGGTATTCTACTTCGATACCTTTGGGATCTGGAGGCCGGGTGTTCGATCCACCCTCACCGCATTTGTTCTTTTTGATGGAGTTTTTGGTTGTGAGTTTTGGGGGGTTCTTTTTGGGGATCATGGGGGAGGTATGTGGACTTTAAGGAGAAGGTAGATGTACATATTTTATATTTTGTATTTTGGATCTTTTTTTATAGCAGGATGTTGGAAGAGGGTATTTATTTCCTTCTTATCTTACGACTAGATTTGATCTGACGTAGCCTGGCGTCCTCTTTTTGTGTAGTGTTTTTTGTCACGCGAGACCCATGTGCCTGGTATTCGATAGGGTCGATAGGATAGTATCATGATTTCCATCAAGTACTCTGTACGGAGGATAGGTACCAGGACTGCCACCTATCCTATGTGCATCAAGTTACATTATTTCGAGAAAATAATATCAACCTGACATAGTCGGTAAGGAGGCGCTGAAGTAATTATTCCAGACTTGAAAATTTTGTTATCTTATTTTTACTGTTTATAGATAATCATGGTCTCGTTCCTAGATGTAAATAATTAATTAAATTATATTATATACTGTATTTTTGTATAGGAAAGACTTCTTAATCTTCTATATATTGTGCAAAAATATAAGTGTTATAGCTTACGAGAGTCGTCGCCGAAGACCTCAGCGGGAGCAGAAGAGACGAATGGCCCTCCCAAGCCCAGAGGCGCTAGACATAATATTAATCTTCTCTAGTACTGTTTCCGTGCTCGAGTACTCGGGTAATCGCGCAAAGTTTTGAATAACTGGAGGGTTTCCATGTATATTTTCCAACCTGAAGGGACTCGATCAAAGTAAATCCGTCAACGGTATTTTTTTACGCGTATAATCACACATATGTACACAACTGCTTTTCAGCTAAAAAGACGCCACAGAAATAAACATAACCGAACTGTCAATAATAATAGCTCCGTCAACCATTATAGTACGTTTTGGTATCAAAAAGTAGATCAATTTCCCTCTTCCGGTATGGCGCTATGTTGGGTGTGAATTAAGAATGGGAGCCATCAATGTTTTGAAGAGCTGGAGGTGGAAATTAGTAATGTAACCCGGCTGCAAGCTGTAGTTATATGATATGGCTTACATATTGCTCTAATCGATCGTGGCTAAGTTTCAATTCTCTGTATTTCGCATCCACTTGATCTATAGATAGGAGAGCAAGCTCGTTAGCCTTGATGTTGATATGAATTTATGAGCAGCGAGTCTTACCTGAAGTGCAGTGTAATATATAATCCAGGTCTGGGTCATCATCTAATCTTTCTAGGAAGTTTGTTGCCTCCACATCCGACCCAATTTGACTTATCTGAAACAAGACAGCTGGTAGAAACGTTAGGAAGAAGCTGGAAATAAGAGAGATGGGATATTGATTTTACAGTTTGAGTCAAAGCCCTCTTTCTTAAGTCTCTTCCCACAATCGAGGATGGCATGTTTTAGCGAATCAGGTGTCTCTTGGTTTCTTCGAGTCCGAGCTTCCTGCGGTCCTTCGGGATACCCGTCGGTAATGATAGAGATGAGGACCGGCCGGGTAAATTCGTGGTCCCAGAGTTTTCTATAAACAAGCGGTGTGAGAACTTTGGCTTTTAGGTTTGTTCCAATTGGCGTCCACCCCCATAGTTGCAGGTTCTCTATAATATCGTCAATCTTATCCAAACTAGGGTTGCTATAACTGGGATCATTAGGAGAGTTAATAAAGCGCAGCTCTATTCCGTCTCCATCTGGCAGTAACAGTGTAGTTATGCTGGCTATTCGTCTAACTAGCTCTCTTAGATCGTCGCGGCGCGTACCCTTACGCATTGAGCCACTGTCGTCTTTTTCTCTTATTTAGTATAGATATTCAAGGGGAATCAAAAGTCTAGCGTGTCACTTACCCAAATACAAGACCGTCCGATAAAGAGATAACTTTGTTAAATCTTTTGTATCGAGCCTGTTCTTCGGATCTCGCTCAAGATCAAGTGCCCTTTTTATAACGTTTTCCAAGAAAGCATCGCCGCGTGGGAAAAACTTGTCCAATCCCGCAGCTGTTACATATTCATAGATATTTTTTTTGAACTCAGCATCCTTCAGGGCCATTAATTTCTGATTAAGTTTAGTTAGCATACGGTCTTGAATACTCTCTCAAAGGGCGGACATACTTCAAGTTCATGAGGCACTTCAACGTCGCCGAATTCACCACTTATGCCGAATTCCTGGAAGATGGTGCCACGATCATAATCATCAGTGGCGGGGTGTACTGCATTATTGTTGCCAGGTGGGAAAGTATCACTAGCAGCGGGTTCGATGGTCCCATCAGCCTCAGCCGGGGAAATGTCGTTTATGGCGGGTTCTGCGGTATTTTCGTGGGTAGTACCACAGATTGGAGGTTTTGCGGTATCATCGGCAGGCTGAGCTGTATCGCCAGGTGGTGACTGGGTAGAGCTACCCCCAATAGCTTCGTCAGGTGTATTGTCAATAACTGGCTCGGTGGCGCCATTAGTAGACCCGTTTGTGCCAGATTTGGCGTCAGCGTCGTTTTCGGTAGCAGGTTTGGTGCCATTGCAGCCATTACCGTCAGCGTCATCTTTGGTGGCAGGTTTGATACAGTTGCCGCCGTTGTTTTTATTGCCGTCAGATTCAATAGCAGGTTTAATACCATTGCTATCGTTATTGTTCACATCGTTTTGGGCGACAGATTTGATGCCGTTGCTGTTATTACCGTTATTATCGCCAGCATGGTTGTTAACAACAGATTTAATAACATTAGCATCACTATCAGCATTATCTCTGATAGCAGGCTTAATGCCGTTGCTGTTGCTATCGCCGATGTTATTTTTGATAGTAGATTTCATATCATAACTATTATTTCCGTCATTACCACCAATGCCGTCCTCGGTGATGGATTTGATACCATTACTGTTACTGCCGTCGACGCCAGCATCATTTTTAGTAGCAAGTGAGGTACCATTGCCGTTATTTCCGTGGGGGCCAGCATCCCCTTCGACAGCAGGTTTGGTACCAATGCCGCCATTACCGTCGACATCAAAATTACTTTTGGTGGAAGGTCCGATGCCATTGCTTTTGGTACCAGCATTGTCTTTAGTAGTAGGATTGGTGTTATTGATGCCATCGCCGCCATTACCGTCGGTTCCAGCATTACCTCTAGTTGTAGGTGTGGTGCCATTGCCGTTATTGGCATCATTAGCGTCATTTTTACTAGCAGGTTTGGTGTTATTATCGTTGTTGCCGTCACCGTCAATTTTAGTAGTAGGTTTGATATCATTGCCGTTATTACCATTAACATCGTCTTTGATAGCAGATTTAATGCCGTTGCCGTTATTGTCGTCGACGCCAGTGCCATCCTTAGTAGCGGATTCGATACCATTGCCGCCACTAACATCATTATTGTTATTTTCGGTAGTAGATTTGATGCCATTGTTGTTATTATTATTAGCGTCATCTTTGATAGCAAGTTTAATGCCATTATCGTTATTGCCGTTGACGTCAGTGTCACCTTTAGTACCGGATTTGATGCTATTGCTGTTATTATCGTTGACGCCGGTGTCATAATCAGTAGCGGATTTGATGCCATTGCTGCCATTAGCATTATTGGCGTCATTTTTGATAGTAGGTTTGATGACATTGCCGTTATTGCCGTTATTGCCATTGGCATCATCTTTGATAGCAGGTTTAATGCCATTAGTGTCATCTTTGATAGCAGGTTTAATGTCATTATCGTTATTGCCGTCGACGCCAGTGTCATTAGTACCGAACTTGATGCTATTGCCGTTATTATCGACGACACCAGTGTCATCAGTAGCGGATTTGATGCCATTGCTGTCACTAATATCATTGTCGTTATTTTTGCTAGCAGGTTTGGTAACATTGCCGGTATTGTTATTAGCGTTATCTTTGACAGCAGGTTCAACGCCATTATTGCTATTATTATTGACGCCAGTATCATCTTTAGTAGCAGATTCGATGCCATTGCCGCCATTAATATCATTGGCGTTATTTTTGCTAGCAGGCTTGGTAACATTGCCGTTATTATTATCAGCGTTATTTTTGATAGCAGGTTTGGTGTTACTGCCGCCAACGCTATCTTTGATACCATGTTTATTGTCATTTTCGTTATTGTTGTTGATATCAGTGTCATCTTTAGTAACGGGTTTGGTGTTATTGCCGTTGTTAATGTTATCGGCGTCATTTCCGCTAGCAGATTTGGGATCATTGCCGTTAGCGCTCGAGTCAGCTTTAATAGCAGATTCAATGCCATTGTCGCCATTGCTGTCAGCGTTATCCTTAGCAAGCTTGATGTTGTTGCTGTCTTTGATAGCAGGACCGGTGTTTTTAGTGTTATTGGCATTAGCGTCATCTGTAGTAGCAGGTTTGGTGCCATTGCTGTCGGTGTTATCTTTAGCGGGTTTGATGTTATTGTCATCTTTGGTAGCAGGACCGGCGTTGTTAGTGTTACTGGCACTAGAGCCATCTTTGGTAATAGGTCTGGTGTTATTGTCGCCATTGCTGTCAACGTTATCCTTAGCAGGTTTGATTTTATTGCCATCCTTGGTAGTAGGACCGATGTTGTTAGTGTTATTGGCATTAGCGTCATCTTTGGTAGTAGGTCTGGTGTTGTTGGCATCTTTGGTAGCAAGTCCGGTGATATTGATGTTATTGACATCAGAATCATCTTTGGCAGCAGACCCGGTATTATCGGTGTGAGTAGCTGATTTGGCGTTATTAGTGTTGGCAGGAGATTCAATATCATCTTTGGCAGTAGATTTGCTATTATCTTTGGCAGCATATTTGGCGTTATTGACTTTAGTAGCCGACCTAGCGCCACCTCCGGTAACAGACCCGCCGCCATCTTTGGTAACAGATTTTGTGTCATCTTTGGCAGTAGATTTGGCGTCATCTTTAACTGTGGGTTTGGTATCATCTTTAGTAGTAGATGTAGTGTTATTGGCGTTAGTAGTTGATTTGGCGTCGTCTTTGGTAGCAGATTTGGCGGTATCTTTGGCAGCAACTTTGGCGGTATCTTCAACGTC